GAAGGAATTATGAGTTCGTAGAAAAAGTATAGTATGTAACGCGTTTATAAACTCTCCTAGACACTCGTTTAATAAACACTCGCTCCGCTCTGCTGCGCTCGTGATTAAGATACTCATCACTAAAATGAGGTTCATAACACTTGTTACATAATATACTATTATAATGACACTCTTGACTCCAATTACAGCGAAAAAACTGTAGCAATTGAAAAGTATTGTCCTTCCAAATGTCTCGGCTTATTATTTAGCCAAAATCGCATCAACGTAATATGGAACATTATCCACATCGGCCTCAATAAGAGGAGTTGGAAGAACGAGAAGTTGTCATCCATATTTATTTCGTCGAAATTGAAAGAGGGCGTATCTTTTTACGTACGAAAAGGTAAATATGGAAATACCGGATGCTCGGAGCAAATGTACTAAAATAATTTTTACAAAAAAAAAATTTAAAAAGTGTAAAAATTATTTTAATACATTCGCTCTGAGCACCCGGTATTTCCATATTCACCTTTCCGTACGTAATAAGATACGCCCTCTTCCAATTTCGACGAAATAAATAGGAGTATGTGAACATTATGAGATTACCGTAAGCCGCAAGGCATCAAACAATAACCAGTACTTTTCGAATTATCTTAAAAACAAATAATTTTATCGGAATTTTACAGAAATCAAAAAATACTCAAAAATGATTGAACACATGAAGAAAAATAGATAGGAAGTCATTAGCGCACGTACAAAAAAAATATGGGGGTAAGTGTGTACTTGACCCCCAGTATTTTGAATATTCGACAGTTATTTTCTGTTTTGTTTTCCTCACACGATGTAACTCTTTGTGCTGAAGTAATGTACCTATTTTGAGATCAATATCTTATTAATTACGCGAGTAAATAGAAAAAAACAGTTTTTAATTTTCAACTTTGACACCCTGTATACCGAATATGAAGGGCTAAAATGAAAAATGATATTTAGAAACTCATATTGTTTTTGTTCAAGGAATATGTGGTTAATGGATTGACCTCCTTTTAGCGGACACCCTGTATATTAGTATATCTCTTTAGATTTGTTACTAATGAGATGAAAATATAATATTGGCAGTTTCCTTGCAGTTCCCAGAATAATTATTTTGGTAAGAATACGAATTCCTGTTAATCCTTCATTACTACTCTACCCATAAATTCAACACGGCTAGAATGAGAAACATCTCGGGGACAACCAAAAAGGAATTATTAAAATCCGACGGAGTTTTGCCTGCATAATTAATTGAGAACTGGAAAGAAAGGAGAGATGTTTCTTCTAAGTACGATTTCTTATAATCTCAAATTAAAAGGTACATAAATGGAAGTTTCCTATGAACCATCTGAGTTTTTTCTATAGTTTTTCGTGTGCAGCTGGACAATTTCACGAGAAATGTAATGAAATAAATACAAAAATGTTCATTTCCACAAATGTTCATGAAATAAACAACAATGGATAGGTGACAGGAGAAAAACAGCTACTTTCCTGGTTAATGCCACATAGAACATTGAATTACATCCTCCCGAAATCTATGCATCGATACGTACAGACGAATACTAATGCAAGTGTTTCTTCCCTAATGCCGATTGATTTCGATTTGGCCAGGTCAACACAACGACACCTCAAAACCGTCTTAGAGCTTGTTTAGCTCTCATCAGCTAGCAGTCCGAAAAGACTGCTGGCTAAGCGTAATTTGGCCTAAAAAAATCCAATTGGCAATATTGACAGTCGGTCAATCAGCCACTCCCATTTTTGGATGTTTCAGTTTTGTGGAGTGTTTCTTACCTTCTAGTCTAGATGGCGATAAACCCATGTGGCCTACTGGAGATTCCTCTGTGACAACAAATATTGCCGATTGGATTTAGTTTGGATAGGTTGCGCTTACCCGGCGGTCTTCGGACTGCTGACTCGAGAGTACCTTACACTGATGAGAGCCAAAGAAGATCGAAACCGGTTTGTAGGTGTTGATGCGATAACCTGGCTAAATCGAAATCATTCTGCATTAAGGAAAGATAACACCCACATTAGTATATTCATCTATACGTATCGATGCATAGATTTCTGGAGGATGTTCTGCGTGGCATTAGCCATATTGACATATACTCCTGTCATTTGGGCATTGGCAAATCATAATAATTCTCAGATGTCAGTCCTTTATAGTTTTAGTTATATCATAGGGAGATGAAAATTGTGTATATCATGAAAAATGGCTGAAAGAATAACTGGACTTCAGGTTACTGATGAGGATATGATATCCGAAATTAATTCATATAACCTGTTTGTGAGAGATATAATCCCCATATCACTGATACGGATGATTTTTTTTAAGTTCCAAGCTCATCAAGATCAGAGTTCATAAAAGTATACTTCTATGCATTTCAATACTGAACATATTATTTATATATTCTATATCATACTACATCATATTATTCTATTCGATTTATGATTTTATTGTTCCTGAAATTTGTTATTTTTCATGTTTCATTTGAAACTACGTAGACACGTAATAACAGATGTGATGGTTGAAAACGAATTGATGTTTTTGATGTTCCTGCAATTTCGGTGATAAACCTTGGTTACTAATAAGTGAAATCAACTCCTATTGTAAAATTAAAGTACGTCATATTTAACTGAACTGTTCGAAAATATGTTTCTTAAAGTTTTATTTGAATTCAAAACTATAGAGACCTTGGCTTTCAGATAACAAATTTATTATTATATGTTCCTCATATTATAGCAATTGAAACGAGTTATACCTGAGTGTCAATGAATAGTTCGTAGGGTTCATGTTACCATCATATTGAAGCAACTTCAATTTATGAAATGTTCTTACCATATCTCCCACGCTGCAGAATTAATTCCCGATAATTCTGCTGCTAGGGAAATTATAAGTGATAGGCATATGAATTACCAAACAAAATAAGGTGAGAGAATTGAATTGAATAATGAATGATCCAAGAATCAGATGATGAAAATAGGTGAAACGCAAATTCACGAGTATTTGTGTTCTGACATTTTCTGAATAATATACCAAAGGACCAGCATTATACGAAGTTCAATCATTCAGGGAAATTGTTTCCAATCTTTCCAGGAAATTCTCATCCCACAATGCACAGTATACACACAGGAGCTGAATCTGAGAAATACATTTGGTTGCTCGATAGAAGTCTGCGCAAAAAACCACAAGCGGGTTCACTTGTATTTATGGCTCAAATATTCTCGTCGTTGGGAAGCTTTGTTGCTCTCATATTCCTGCTATTTGATATACCTAAAGCCATAAGCAGAGGGTGTCGTTCAGGAAAAAATATTCCCTATCATACAGATGGAAAGTATAACGGCTGATATCACCTCTTGGAGTTTTCTTTTCCTTATTCTTCCAACATATATTATGGAATGTGTGGCGAAAGAAGCTATATTGGAGTGGGGTGCGAATGAGTGTGTATATAGGTATAGGTACAAAAAATTTTCTATATAGAGTAAAATTCAGACAAACATGGCAACATAGGTATTCATCTTATCATCGAGCTGGTCTTAATAGTTATGACAGCTGTATTGCAGACCTTGCAGAAATATCCCACAAATACACTGTTCTTATCTAAATCTATATTTTGATAATAATAAATCCACATTTTTGTACCTGATATTAGTTATTTCATACAGTTTAGTACTTTCATTTGGTTTGTATCACTTGTCACGCAGTCATTCTGTCATGTATTCTGTCATGTCATCCAGTCCTGTCATTCTGCACTTCCTGATGTTCTACCTATTTTTTGCTTTTGGCTGTTGTCAAATGGCCACAAGTGGTGATAAAACTCTTGTTGAATGAATTTTGGTTTATAATTTCAAATTCCAATTCCTACTCTTACCGATGTGGAATTGCGTTAGTGATTTGTTCTTTTGGATATACAGTCGATTTAAAGAACAATATACTTGATTACCTGCCTGATTTTCCTAGTTTGACCAAGTTTTCAGTTAAACTTATCTCTACATGTCTTCTTAGCTAACTTTTTTCCTCAATAGTTCATTGTCTATTTGTAATTTCATAATCTTTACTGGTATTTTTTGTGCCTGAATATGGCCGTCGAGCCGAAACTAGTCACAAACTTGATTTGTTAATATAATTTTTTGTGGTCGACCGACTATGTGTTGTACTGTTTTTCTTTGAAATGCATAATTATGTATATACTGTGAAAGACCGAAATTAGTGGATGTCGACATACACCGGTTAATGTCGACAGACACCAAATGTGTTGGTGAAAGACCGAACATTTATCAGATTTATTTCAAATTCGGACCTTCACAAGTGTTCATCGACAAATATTCATAGACATCGGTCAATGTCGGAATTGAGGTTATAACTGGCATTCTGCGATTTCTTCGGCTCCACAAAACTCAAAGACATAGAAGGCTAATGCAAGTCTGAGAAGTACGTCTTCATCTCAAATATTGACCAAACAGCACAAGCCAATTTATTCAAAAAGAGTAGCCGCAAAAGAGAGTCATCAACTCGAAGCAACAAAAATGTTGCGAACCTCAACAAAAGTTTCCTGTGGCACAATTTGTTGATACCGTAAGAATTGAAGTCCCTAACGTTGACCGTAGTCGTACAGATCCCCGAAATATGTTAGCCACTATTGTTGAAATGAAGGATTCAGACTTTTATGAGCAGCTTCCCACCCAGAATCAATTCGCAATTTGTAAAGAAAAGTTGAATTTCCATGGACGAGATTTCAACTAAAGAGGTATCGCTAATAGAAGCAGCTTCAGCTAATCCAAAAAGTGCATGGAGCATGGAGGACGGCTATACACGCTGTAACTGCAGCTTCTGACACACTTTAAAAGTCATAAAATGACAGTTACTGTCAGTTACGCCATTGCTCAGACGTTTTTGAATGAATGATAATAAACATAAATAAATGTGTTAGTTTGTGTGGGAATATTTTGATTATTTATTCGTTGAAAGTTTATATGTAATAACATACAAAATGCCTGCATCTATAGGCGTAAACCTGCGTGTTACAGGACATTGTCGCCAAGGAGGCAGGAAATATATGGAGGATTTCTTTTCAGTTGCATATCAGCAAACAGAGGATGAGAAAGACATGGAATATGCATTTTTTGGTATATACGATGGTCATGGGGGTGCAGAGGAAGCAGCCTTCGCTAAGGAGCACCTTATGGAAACCATCATAAAGCACAAAAACCTTTGGTCTGGTGATGATGAAGATGTTCTAAGAGCTATTGAAGATGATTATAAGGCAACACATTATGCTATGTGGAGAGAACAAGGTAAATATCGTTTGGTAAACAATAACAATATGTTACTATCTATCCACTTAACACAAACTTAGGTATCTATGATGATCCTCCAATTTTATGTTTTTGATAAATTATAAAATAAGTATTCCCGCCATTTTTGTATTGTCTATCAATGAAATACTTTCAGAAAAGTGGCCACGAACAGCATCTGGTCTACCTAGTACAGCAGGGACTACTGCAAGTGTAGCATTGTGTAGCATTGTGTAGCGGAATGGAAAGCTGAAGCCCTGACTAAAGATCACAAACCTGAAAATTCAGATGAATTAGCTGTAACAAGAGGCTTTTGTTCAATTCGAGTATCATGGTAGTTCAAATTGTTGCAATAAATAAGGTTGCCATACATTTTCTTCAGTTTTTTCTTAAATTCAGTTTGAAAAATATGTTCATTGGAAAACTTTTCTCATGTTCTAATGTTTCAATCAGAAATAAATAATAACCTATAATGTTTCATTTTGTTTTCATTCAGAATTTTTTTTTCTTTTGAACATACACCATGGGTGCATGATGAATGTTGACATTCGCCGGTGTGTGTTAGAAATAATTATATTCCATCAATATATCGAACATACGCCAAGTAACTTGGTGAATGTTGACATCCACCGGTATATTTCGACATTCACCGTTTTTCGGTATCTCACAGTAACATATTCACTGATTACCGTTGGAAATGAAAAACCGACAAATAATACTGCGATTTATATTCAGTATTTAGTGCAAGTCTGTACTTTTCACCCTCATCTGTGTGCAAGGGACGACTGTACAATGCATCAACGTACATTGCCACGATGTCACAGTAACGTCAGGTTGCATGTACATATCATTCGTGTGGTCAGTCTCGCTGGATTTATGATTTGAAAACTGAAATACACATCATTCCCCACATGTCTGAGAAATGTGTTTATTGTAATTAATAATATCGGTAAGTAGGTATATATATTCAGGTATTCTATGTCTTGTTATTAGTTTTGATAGAATCGATTGTTTTCACAACAATGGTTCGTATATACAGTGTCAATCATCAAGTTGACATCATCGCACATGGAAGAAACTTTTAATGATAGTTCATTTTGAAATTTGACTTGTTATTTCTATTCCAATTTTACACGTGTGTCCCGAATTTGAACGTTCTATTGCAATTATTAGCTCTTGATATTTTTTGATTTCTTCTAATTGTAACTTCGACAAAACTGTCCTACAATCTGGTTAGTTACGTAAAGTAGTTCGATGTTATTTCGATGGATGACTTTCGAATCATTTTGGTACTGAAAAAATCAATTTAAATAAATTTCGCTCCTGAATAATGGCCGGTACAACTCTGCATCAAACATAACAGAAATTTGAATTATTTTCTGAATCATATTTCTGTCGATAATCAGTGATTGAAAGTTGGTAGCATGATGAATCTACTAGAATGAGATAGTTTTATCGTAGTTATTTCATTTTATTTAGTACGACAGACATTTCGTGAGAATTCAGAAAATTACAAGAACCAAAAGATGTCAGAAAACTCTCAAATTCGAAAAACATATGTAAAATTGAGATAGACACAACTTTTCTCAGTGAACTTTTCTAGAATTCGAAGAAGAGAGCCGATTTCCAGCAATTATTCTGAAAAAAATTAACTTTTGACATATAGAGAAATCACGTGACCAAGACCTAGTAGTACATTTTCCATATTTTGTAAAGCAAAACCTAACGCTCGAGTCGAATTTCGAAATGAATTATCATTGAAAGATTTTTCCATACGATGCCGAACTTTATACGAATGACACTGTTATCAGGTTTTTTCAACTTTCACCTTGGAATTTAAAAAACCAGGATTATTAGAAACACAAAATTGCAGTGGTTCGAGAAACAATGGGGTTCAAGGTCTTTACAATGGAATAATGTAATACATTCTTGCGAGAAGAAGCATTTCTTCATTCTCTCTTCTAAGTCTCGAATAAGCAACCGTAACCTCTAAATTGCCAAGAATATCCTCGACGAAACAATTTATTTGGTTGCATATCACGTCATTATAGTGAACACAAATATTCCATATGTGGTGGAGTTGTGACTATAAGTTCTTTCACCCCTCCTCATTTATATCACATCCACTGTAGGTTTCCTGTTAAAGTTGATGAAATTTCAATTCTGAATCGCGTAGTGAGTTGATCTACCAAGAAATAATAGGTACAGATGTATGTTAACCTATTGTCTTAAAGCTTTCATTATAGGTCTAGGTATGTTCTCAATTATGACGACTTATGAATGATCTTTCCTACACATCTAATAGAAACTAACAGGATGTTAACCCCGTTTTGTAACACCAACACCAAGTACATCATAATAATCCGATTAGTCCCTGCAATTAACATCATAAGTTTGGCTTCATTACCAGCTAATGCTCGCGAGCTGGTGCTCACCGAAAAATACCCTGTACTCTAGATCACCGTCCTGAAATGATTAAGTTGCGATTTACCTTAGATGGGCTGCAATTAGTCTGCATTGCTGTCGCTGTCATCGGTGGCACGAAATTGGGCACAGTAAACGGTACGAAAAGCATTTGAGAAGACGACGAGGTCCCTTGTTGCTCGTTAGTTGGTGCTGAGTTATTGTTGTTACACTGGCACGAAGTTACGACCAGTTGCGTCGGCTGTGCCAGATTGACAGTTGGTTGAGTCAGTTCGGTTAGCGGTTTCGGCTGGGCTACAGCTTGCACTGGAACCGGAGGCTGATGCCCTATGGAGTATGGCGCTGACCGGTTGGTTGTCCTGTGACAAGTCCGGATGGGACCGACTGGGTTAGAGGAAGTCGAGGTTTCCGGTTTGAGAACGGCGCAGGGATACACGCCGACCAGGCTGTAGCCCACGAAGACCGGTGAAGAAGCCAAGGCAGTGGTTTTCCGGTAACTTTGGAGTGAATTCGGGCTGCCTGTGGCAGCGGGGAGGTGATTTTCGCACTCGATGGTAGACAGGTAGGTCACTCGCACACGCGGTTTTTGTTTATTGTTGTGGAGCGTGTGCGTGGATCGGGATGCGTGTTCAGTCTGTCGGTCATGTCACGTGACGCGCGTGGTTCTAAACGGGTTCAGTACGCTGAAGAGGTCGCGGAGGGTATGATGGAGGCATGACGCGAAGTGCGGAGGCAGCGATGCGACGGCGACGGCGACGGCGGGTTAGTTGATGTTAACGGCTGGGGCAGGTGAGGAGCGGCGCGTTTGAGGTCACAGCCGCACTATAAATAAGCAGCTACAGAACAGAGCAGAACAGAACACGGCTCGGACGGCAGGAGCCGGAGGCGGCAACGCGCGCTTCTAGGATGAGCGCGGCGGGCGTGTCACCGCCACCCCGAAGCCAAACTTTCGAGCGCAATCAATGAAATGTACACTTCTAGTGAATTTGCGAGTTCTTCGCTGGGGTACCCTAGTTCATTAGTACCTATGGCGGTGGAGGCATATATGGCCAAGGAAAATTCCAAGCCATTTGAAGAAGAAAAAGCAATTTTGCATCGCTGTTGTGTTGGAGTAGGTTAGAATCACCTTCACAGAAAAAAAAATTGTTTGAAACTACAAATTTCTTGTAAATTCAACAAAATCTGAGTGTCATATATCCTCGACCAAATATTTTGTCACCGCAACAAATTTTTTCAGTCACTTTCAATTCAAAATTCGTATGATGTAACTCATTAATAATTCAAATCAACACCAGGAATTGGTTGAATAAACTAAGACTATTTTGTTCCTATAATACAATATCTGCTCTAATAAACAGATTCTGTTGGTTGAAATAATCATATTATTTCATTCAAGTGACAAAATTTTCAGTTCCTCAGAGAGTGAATATATTGAAATAACAATATATATTCTGAATATAACAAATTAGTTTTTTCATCCAATGAAACAATTCATTCGATCAAGAGAAATTATAAATCAATTTCCTCAGTTGATTCAAGACTATTATTAGCTTGTATGAGCGTCATTAGAAATTCTAGGACAGCTCAATATAACTATATAAACAGATGTTCTAGGAAGGTTCATGTACATCCTGATCAAGGCGAGCGTAGAAAGGTGGGAAGAAACGCCACCTGGTGGCGAAAATGCAACCAGATAATCATTCAACAAAACTTTTGTTTAATATAATGTATCTGTGCTCTTCAACAAAATATTCTGTTTGAAATAACAACATATTTCTTAACAATGATGTGTTGAATCAACAAAATATAATGTTGTCATAATCAACTCAATTTTGTCGAATAGTAAATACCTTTGATTGGTTACATAATGAAATCATTGAATCAACAAAATATGATGTTGTACTTAGTTAAATCTATGTCAAAATTAATTTAATTTTGTCAAACAGACAAGATGCATATGATTGATCGAACAGTGAGATGATAGTTGACAACAACTTTTTTCATTGTCAACTATAAATGATGTTGAATGAAATGAAACTTTTGTTCATGTGAGCAAAAATTTCAATCAAATTATTTTGTCGTTTTGAATTATTCGCTTATTTGGAATGAACATACATTTTGTTGACTTGGCAATATTGTGTTCAATTTAACAAAAAAAAAAATCATCAAAATATTTTTTTTGGTGCAACAAAACTTTTTTCCCGTGCTCAATCACCTCATCGTGTATCTCACTTTCTATAATAACCGAATAGGTCAGTTTGGTGAAGGATGTTGGACCGATGATAGTGTCAATAGTTAATTTTCTAATAAGATGTTTCCACCATATTCTTCAAGCTCACATATGATTTTTTCGTGCGAACCATCATATACAGGGTGTCCGGAAATTATGCGCAAAAAATCAAGGGGGTGATTCTACATGATGAAATAAGAATTTTATTTCATATGTACGTGGGTCCGAAAATGCATAGTTTTCAACATACAGTGTGTTAAAACTTTAAAAAAATATCGTTTTTTTATGAATATCTCAAATGTCCTTTCACCGATTTCCTTGAAATTTCGCAATGATATTTTTCGTCATCGAGGGCTGATGTAGCCATAATCCAATCGGAATTATAAAATCCAGTGGCGTCCCAGTGGTAACTTACCGAATATTATTGTCAATAAAATGTGCGCCACTGATTTTTTTTAATTTTTCATTCTCATAAACTATTGACCAATCAAGAATACAACATTTCGGTCTCCAGAGTTGTTTCGAGAAAGAGTTCGTCAAAATCGTTACATAAATGAGAGATTTATAAGGGTGGCCTGCTTTT